TTTTTTTTTTTTTTTTAACAAAAACAAGGCTAATATAGTAGAAGATGGTATCAAATAAAGTAAAAAGTAAGTAGTGAGACTATTAAATTGATTTAGAATTAAGTGAGGAAATATTACTTCTCTAGGGTCATCCTAGAAGTCAACAGAATAGTTGAGAATACTTACATTTTTCTTTTTTTTTTTTTCTTTTTGAGACAGGGTGTCAGTCTGTCACCCAGGCTCAAGTGATCGATCCTCCCGCCTCAGCCCCCCAAGTAGCTGGATTTACAGGCACACACACCCGGCTAATTTTGTGTATTTTTTGTATTGACAGGGTTTCACCACGTTGCCCAGGCTGGTCTCCTACTCCTGGGCTCAAGCGATCCATCCGCCTCAGCCTCCCAAAGACCTGGGATTACAAGCGTGACCCACTGCACTTGCCCTGTATTTCTTTCAACTGCCTTTTATCGAAAGATCAGTTTCCCTTTTCTTACTCTCATTTTTCCTCCCCTTTTCTTTCATTAAAAAAAAAAAACCTTCCCATATTTTAGATTTGCCAATTACTTTCACAGACATTACAGTGCTATTTTAACAGATAAACTCTCAATTGCGGTGGCCTAAAAATAGAAGTTATCCCTCAGTAAACTCCAAAATGATTGGGGAAGGCTTTCATAGGCTTCCAGGGACCCAGGCTGTCTTCATTTTATGACCTCACCCGCCTCTAAGGCCTGGGAATCCTCTCCATTCAGCCAGAAAAACAGGGATGGAATGAACATTCAAACAGGGAGACTTTTATGGGCCAAGCCTGCAATGGAGCACATGCCTGCGGTCATACCCCATTAGCTAGCACTCAGTAACATGGCCACATGTAATTGCAAAGGGGAATGGGCAATGGAGTCTAACTGTGGCTGCAGGAGGAGAAAAATGGGTTTGGTGAATAGCTAGCTTGTCTCTGCCACTAACTGCAGATTATTTCAACAACAGATATGCATGATCTGGTGTACTACATGTAGGTAGCCCTTTCCTTACTTTCTCATGAAATCACTGCAACAACCTAATGGGATTGGAAATTAGTATGTCCAATTCAGAAACCTAAGGTCACACAGTTCCGAATGACAAACCAAGATTTAGTCCCTGTTCTGCTGCAAAACCTTCTGCATTATGCTGCATTTCTCCAAATAAAACACGGTGAAGTGAAATTACAGTCTGATAGCATTGTGATTACACTTAAAATATCATATAACTGCTACATCATCAATAGTGTCCATCCGTGGAGATGTTTTCCCAATTGGAGTGATGGACTTGTGCTAATTTACTTGAACTCTTGTCCCATTTTAGTATTTTATTTTTGAGATAGGGTCTCACTTTGTTGCCCAGGCTGTAGTGCAGTGGCACAATCACAGCTAACTGCAGCCTCTACCTTCCAGGCTCAAATGATCCTCCCACCTCAGCCTCCCCAGTAGCTGGGACCGCAGGCCCATGCCACCATGCCCAGCTACTTTTTGTAGAGAAGGGGTTTTGCCATGTTGCCCAGACTGGTCTTGAATCCCTGGACTCAAGCCATCTGCCTCCCTCAGCCTCCCAAAGTGCTGAGATAACAAGAGTGAACCACTGTGCCTGGCCTTTTTCTCATTTTAAGGTATAGCATTATATATTGATGTATAGCTCTGACGAGATCATTGCAGTCCCCTATAGAGGAATGAATCAATATTTACTCTCATCACTCATGTCTCATTAGCACTGAGAAACACAAATAGGCATTTCTACTTCTAAAAGATACTTTAAAAATGTGGTTTCTTTCTGTTACTGAAGTTTCCTAAAAATCAAAAAGAAGAAAATAGTTTCATTTTATCTTTACAATCCTTTGAACACTAGAGATATCAATCAGATATATCCATTTACAAATGAATAATAGCTAGGTTACTCTGTGTAAGAAATATACGTATGTGTATATTCGTTTAATCCTCAGCATCACCTAATGAGTTAAGTGTTTTTGTTGCCAGTATTTTATTGCCGTGGCTATCAAAGCACATAGAGGTTAACCAACTTGAGTGAGGTAAGAGTTGCGCATTGAAGAAAATAAAACAGGTCAGGGTATTAGTGAAAGTCTCCAGCAACATTCCCAGGGTTCATAGGTTCTATTTATTCTGCTCTGTATGCCATAGGTTATTCCTTATTTCTTGAAAGATCTTTTCCTCAGGACTTTCATAACATCCCGTTCCTTTCTTACAGCTTCATTGTATCTTTATTGTGCAGACATGTTGACTTGAGTATGTAAAACCTAACAGTGCCTATTGTTGCGCTAAAAAATGCCTTTCTATTAAAGCATGAGGCAAAAACCTAACTTAGCTCTTTCTTTCCTAAACTCACAATTTATAGAGAAACCCCTTAACCTCCTCTGAAACAAAAGGCATACAGGCTACATAGACATATATTTGAGACATTAAAGAAACATGAATTTCCATTTTAAAAAACGTTTAACTTAGTATCCTCTGTCAAATTTCTGGTGCCTACTACAAAACTGGAAAAAACTGTTAAAAAAATAGCTTTTGAAATATTAGTCATTTTAAGTGAGTCACGCCCTAAAAAGAATTTACTTGGGAGTGAAAGCTAGTTGACCCTAACATCTCAGAAATAAAACTCCAATTTGTTCATCTATTTAACCTACCATGAGTTTGTGATTTGGCAGCTTGTGAAAAACAACAACAAAAAACCCACTGAAATGGAACTGGTCACTGGAAACTCTCTTTCTGGTCTGTACTATCTAAATGCCAGCTGTCATGTCAGGCAAAAAGTAATTTGTAGAGCAGCTTTGTGGTCCACTGTATTATGCAGGAAAGACAATGTACTGGAAGAGCCAGGACTCAAGTCATTTCGTGTCTACTACTGAGAAACTAAATTCTGTAGAGAACATGGGGCTAAATGAAGCTCAATAAAGATACGTTGGAAGAATCAATGAGGAGTTTACACAAGGGTAAAATAGAGTTCCAAGCGCTCTCATTGCTAACCGTACAGTCTCTATGACTGTTGCAAGTGGTTTTGCAGGTCATCCAGGCACTAACCTTTTCTTAGCCCGAACACATTTAAAGAGTGAAGGGGCAGCGCACTGTGAATGTTTCTCTCTGAACTTCCTTAAGTCAACTGGGCGGAGGCCCTACCCGTTCAGGCACCTGCAATTTCCGCCCTTCTCCTTCCCCTTCTTCCGGGCTACTGTCCCCGCTCATCACCCGGCCTGTGGTCCACTCCCACCGCCAGCTGGAACCCTGGGGACTACGACGTCCCTCAAACCTTGCTTCTAGGAGACAAAAAGGTAATGATCGTCATGTGTTAAGTCACTGCAGTATGAGGTCTTCACGTGAAAGCTTTATTTGGGTAGGAAAACCTAGCCTACGAGAAACGGGTCCGTGCGGTCACGCCTGACTGCCTGTCAAGGCTGCCAGGACCAGCTCCAGCCCTCCGCCAGAGAAGGTTGTCCTTTCCCCTCCGAACTCTGGCTTCCCTAAAGCGGACGCGCCTCCTTCCAGGCCTCACCTCCCGCCGGCTCCGCCTGGCCCGGCCCATCTCGTCCCCACCTCGGCGCCCACCCATTGTCCCCTCGGGCAGTCACCGAGCGCAGATCCCGAGCTCTCGATTGGAACGCCTCCCCATCACTCAGCCACACTCAGGGGCTGGACGCCTCACTCCCGTTTCCGAGCCATAAAAGGTCTAGGGCCGCTTCCCCCAAGCCAGCAGGTAAAGCCGCGGCGGCGGGAGGGAGGCCGGGAGGG